ACAAAGTAATTACCTTGGGACTCAGGTACCTCATCCGTAAAATGAAGACAATAATAACAGTGCCTACCTCTTAGGGCTGCTGTGCATGTTCACGAATTAGTATGTAAAGTGCTTCAACCGATGCCTCGAAAACAGTGTTAGATCTAAGTGTCTGTGTGGTTATTGCCACTCCATGGCAGGCACAAGGAATAAACACTTAGCCCGGACCTCAATCTGGAAACTTCCATCAAGTGAGTTTCGACTTGTCATATCCAGACTTGAAGGACAAAATAAAAGCAAGCCATGGCATTCTTTACCCAAATTGTGTTGCCTACTTTTCTCTTCCTTCCTGATGCGTACCCAAATGTGTCCTAAAACCCTCTCCTGTATAATCTGCTTCCTCTCACTTCCTGATTCTCCCAGGGAGGTAGGAGTCTAATCTCTGGTTCATGGATGTTAACCATGAAATCACAAGGCAATCTGGACGGAGGCACGAGAAGAGGCAGCAGCTCAAGGCGACGGCTGCGTGACAGCAGCTTGATCATTAGCAATGAGAGAGAAATTAAATACAGAAGAGTTGTGCCTAATAGGATTTTGGCAAAGCATTTTAAGTTTGCCCGAATGAGCAGGGAACGGACCTAGCCGTGCAAGGCAAACCAGAAGTCAAGAAATCTCAATTTGCAGCATCAGAGGGTTCACTTTCCTGAGTGACAGGAGCCTCTGGATCGGGCGCTCATGGAGCATAGCGAATCTGTCTTACAAGGAGCCGCCAGCATTTCACACATGCTACTTTTATTCCTCACTATGAAATCTCATGTAGAGGTTTCATACTTGAGTTAATTGGGTAGGAAAGGTCACAATGGTGGCGTGGAGAACATCCTGTATAAAAGACTACGGCAAAGCCCATCAGGCTCTGTCCTGCACAGGCCGTCACTTTGCTAGGAAGCCATTTCCACCCGCAAAGAATGCAAAGACCAAGATAATTGTGGCACACTTGAAGGTCAAAACACCCCGGGCTCTAAAACAGCCAAGACGCTTAATTTAGGCCTCCACATATACAGTTCTGACAATCGCGGAAACATCCCTGAACCAGATGACAGCAGATTAAGTGGAGAATCAAATGATAATAAAAAGAAGGGAGGAAAAAAAATACACACACTAAAAACAGAACCCATGCATGCACTGGCTGTTACCACGAGTTTGTGCAAAAGCAATGCCAACCGCTCCAGAGCGCTGGCCTCTGAGGGACAACGAGCACCCCATCTCAGAGGGAGCTGGGATTATCAGGAAGGATGCCCTTTGTGAACTTCATTTACTGTTTCACTTGGTCCAAAATGGTTCAGAAGCAAAATAATTCCTACCCGGGGATTAACTGCTCCATTGGTCCAGGGTCTAGGCCTGTATGAATTGAGCCCTGGATGCATGCCCGAAGCCAGCTATGTCAGGAACCTAGTGTTTGCCTCTGTCCCAAGGTCTGTTGTGCTACTAGCACTAAAGTTAGAAGCTAAGCCATAAGACCTCATAGCTGGGGCTTTTTGCAAAGGGCTGCCTGGCTCCACAGTCGGTGGCTCTGTGGCTCAGGTACTCTGCCAGGTCCCTACCTGTGGATGAAGTTCTTCTTCTCCAGGTACTCCATGGCCGATGAGATCTGAGTGGCCATGTACAGCAGCACCACGGCGTTCACCTCCTGCCGGTTACACTCTCTCAGGTAGTCCAGCAGGTTCCCATAGGTCATGAACTCGGTGATTATGTAGAATGGGGGCTCCCGGGTACAAACCCCTGCCAACAAGACATTGGGGGCTTCAGCGTGCGGCTCTACTCCCAGATGAACAAACACTGAAAAGAACTGACGCCAAAGGAAAAGGCTTCCGAAAGAGATGCTGGCTCTGCCCCCAATTCCCGGCCCCACTTCTAACACAGTGCTAAATGCCTGTGCCTTGAGCTGGCGCTTCCGTGGGAGCAACAGGCCACGCGCCTTTCTCCCACTCAAGCCAAGGAACTTGAATTTACACACAGGAAGAGGCTGTCACTGAGTCAGAAGCAAAGACCAAGCCTCACGTGAAACAACCTAAGCCACGGTTAGTTTACCCCCAAATGGTTATTTCTGACGGTTGTGTCTACTCACACTGAGTCAGAAGCAAAGACCAAGCCTCACGTGAAACAACCTAAGCCACGGTTAGTTTACCCTCAAATGGTTATTTCTGACGGTTGTGTCTACTCACAGAATCACTTCTGTGAGAAAACTCTTGAAAATTCTCAAGTTTCAGAAGCCAACTTGAGATTTGCATTTTACTACTTTTAGGTATCCATTTAAAAAATAACATATTCTTGGGCCGGCCCGGTGGCGCACTGCTATAGTGCGCCGATTGGGAAGCGTGGTGGCGCT